CTGGTCCTGAGCTACATTCCGAACCTCTTGGATGTCAACCACCTGTTTGGTGATTGCTGCACAAAGGACAGTTTGATTCGCATCTTCGATAGCAATAGCACTTCATATATCGGTATTGAATTGAACTGAACTAACTAATTGACAAATAAAACAGTCTTTTTATATTCTAGTCTGGTGGTGGCGTGCGCAAAAATCCAGCGCGTTCCAAAGTCCCACAGGAGGATTGCCAAAGCACTTTCAACGATGCAGAGGGATCACTCAAGGCTTGTCAGAAAGTGGCAGGTTCACTACGGAGAGCCATTCTTGACATGAAGAAATTGCGCCGGGCTTTGGAGAAAATGCGAAAGTCAGAAAAAACAAGGCAGGCTTTGAACGCCAAAGCAGAGGCTGCTGCCGATGGCGAGTCAGACAACAAAATGGCCAAGTGCCTTGGTGGCAGAACAGCCATTAACAAGGCCGTGACAATGGCAGACCCCATGATCCTTCAGCAATTCAAGGAGGTGCTGTCAAGGAGAGAAATCCGGATCTGCAAGGATCCACAGAAGGAGTTGTGCTCTGGCCTGGTTGATTCTCAGTATCCCTTCTGCGTACGGAAAGGCCGGCATGTCCTCAAGTTCTTGGTGAAGGACAATGCAGCGAGGGATGTTTTTGAGCGAACAGTGAACGCCTTCAAGGACCAGTGCAACGCGGCCGCGAAGGGTGCCAAATCTTTGCACCTTAGCTGCCTTAGCATTGCCACCATTTTCTTGCGTGGGCCGGGCCGTGGGCCTTTGTTGTGTGTATGTGGCTGTACCCTGCCTTCTTGTGAACAAGGATCATCTTGGAAAGGAAGAAGGACGATCATGGAATCACCCAATCCGTCTACAGCGCCTTGAGGCAAATGTGCCCAGATTGGGACGAGGTCACGGAGAACTCCGATGTTTGGGATCATGTCTTGGCAGAGAACGATGATTTGGTGAATGCGGCAGACAAAATCATGTCGGTGCCCTGAACAAGATATGAGTCTTCTATTTCTTGAGTTTGAAGACCGGACCGGACCTACGAAAAACAATACCACCCACCCACCCGCCCATATTATTATGCCCATGCCCATGTCCATGTCCAAAAACAATTTGAAATCTCTCTTCTCTGAGTCTCTGAGTCGAATCTCTCATAATGATACTTATACATCGATCCTTATATACCGTATACCATCTTAGCATCTTATACTTATACCAAGACATTTCAAACCTTCTCCGCTGCTGACGGTGTTTCTGCCAGGTCTGGCTGGTTGGTCGCAAGATGGATTCGGTCTACACTGGGTTGGACAGCCAAGGGATGGCGACAGTGCAGATTCAGCTTACAGGGGGAAGGCTGGTGATCTTTGTCGCTGTTGATGAGCTGATCGCTTTCTTCCCAGATTGTCACGGCGTGTTGAAGGATGCCATCGATATGTTTGCGGCCTTGGATGCCAAAAACAACTTGCCCGACTCGTTTGCCATGCCCAGTTTGTCCACAGTGTATTTGAAGACCGGAGACGTGGTATATTGCCCATTAGGATTCGTTTGCTTTGAGAAGACAATTTCAGAGTTGGGCTTGACAGTGAGGACTGTTCATGTTATGCCAAACAGAACCGTGCCGGCGGCCAACCATGTGAAATTATTTCACGATCATCAAAATATTAACACACACGCAGCACAGACAGGACATATATGTTATTTGCCCCTAATATATGGACTGCAGGATTAACCTGAACGTCTTCTCGCCGACGACTGCAAGTTCTTTCCTGACTGCAATGAATCAGGATCGCCTGTTGCTGTGGCTGTGGCGGTAGTTCCTTTTTCTCGCAGCGTTGAAGTTTCGATTCAGTGATGTGTTGTAAAGTTTTCAGTCTTCACTGTCCCGGTTCAAACCCAGCTGACCCTGACCACAGGTGAAATCAACTCCGGAGACATGCTTGATTACCAAGTTTATCGAGTACGCATGCCCTTCAGCTCTGGAGGATCCTTCTTTGGGATGTTCAACAGAGCCAGAAAACAATGCCTTCGGCTTCGACCATGACAAGGAGCATGATGAAATGCTACAACATGTGGAGGACTGATAGCCAGACTGACTGCTTTTATTGTTGTACGCTGTACGATCTAAATCATGAATTCAATCTGATCGGATAGTCAGGAGTCAAGACTCAAGACTTTGCTTTTTGGTATTATTGCTTGTTGTTCAGTTGTTCAGTGTGCGTTTGCTTGTCTTTTTAACTATAATAATGATGTTTGAAGTTTGAATAAGGCATTTATCTGGGTCCAACTCTTCTTCTGCAGGCTGAGCTGGCAAAAGCCCGAAAGTGCAGCATGGCAATGGCAGCGCGTGTCAAGGCAGAAGTTCCAGAAGCAATGCAGGTGCCACGCTCTGCCCCTCCTGGGGAGTTTGACGAGGACAGCGGTTTTGGAGAACGATGTTGTGAACCATCATTGACGCCAGCTCACCTTGCTTCGCCTACAGCAGTGGCGCCCGCAGCTCCCGTGGAACCAGAAGAGGCAGCGGAGGCTGCTGCAGCTCGTGTGGAAGCTGTGGAACCAGAAGTTCCGCAGGCAGTGGCG